TCAAGGGCATTTTCCTAGAATGACTTTAGGAAAGAAGAAAGGAATAGAAAAACAGCTGGAATTACCTAGCCTTCCTAAGTTAGATACATTAGGACTTGGTTTCGAACCGACATGGGAAGATCTCAAGCGAGCCCAAGAAAGGTCTAAGGCCCATAGGAACGCTCGCATCCAAAAGAAAGCAATCCCAATGGATTAGGACTATCTGTGCTATGAATTTCCCAAACCTTTTGTTGTAAATGGCATAAGGCAACCAAGATTTGAAATTTTCTTAGGTTGCTATTTTCTAGGTGAAATCCCAACTCCTATCCACAAGGAGAAAGCACCCGCATGCTTTGACTTTAATGTCTTGGGATTATTATTTGGGCGAGAAAAAGATGAGCCGAGATACATAGAGGATAACTCCCTGCTCATTCAAACGGTCCTACAAAGCGAGAACTTTGACCCCTCGAAGCTCATCACTCCAGCAGAAGGATCAATGTGGCGCAAGACGGTCAAGGTGACTACTCCAAGTGGAAGGAAAATCTCCACAACGACAGGGCAAGTACCGATGTTCGAAGAGTCGTTTGAGTCAGAGTTAGAGTCAGAGTCTTTTCCTGTAGATTCATCCAAGTCCTTAGTTATAGCACCCCCTCCTTCTTCTATTTCTTCTCCTAGGGTAGTTAGCAATCAAGTCCCTGAGGACATTTATCTTTTCGATGTAATGATTTGCGAATTCAATAATATGTCTTAATCTGCTTACTCCTCGTGCTTTTCTTTAACCCAAGATGAAGAGCATTGCTCAACTAACAATGAAAATGACAAAGAAATTATTAAAGCAATGGAAACACTTGAAAAGAAAACACCGATAATTGAGGAAACTGAGACGGTTGATATCTCAAATGATTCAACCATTAAAAGAGAGGTTAAAATCGAATTAACACTTAATGAACAAGAAAGAACCGATTTAATTAATCTACTTAAACAATTCATCGATGTATTTTCTTGGACATATGAAGATATGCCAGGTATTAATAGAGAAATAGCTCAACACACTATACCACTAATTCCAGGAATGAAACCTGTAAACAAAAGTTGCGTCAAATGAAACCCGACGTAGCTCTTAAAATAAAAGAAGAAGTTCAAAAGCAAATAACTACAAGTTTTATCAGGGTATCCAAATACCCCGAATGGGTGGCCAACGTCGTCCCAGTTCTGAAGAAGGATGGAAGAGTAAGAATGTGTGTCGACTATCGAGATCTAAATAAGTTAAGTCCAAAGGACGACTTCCCTTTACCACACACGATATTTTGGTTGATAGACCGTGAAGTGACCACTCAAAGCGGAAGAAAGATCTCTATAAAAACAGACAAGGGCCGATGTTTGATGAATTGTCTGAGTCGATTCTGAGTTAGAGTCTTCCCCTATCGAGTCTTCCAAGTCCTTAGTTATAGCACCCTCTCTTAGCTCTTATTCTTTCGTATCTTCTCCTAGAATAGTCAATAATCAAGTCCCAACGGACATTTCTTTATTTGATGTAATGATTTCAGAGTTTAATAATATGTCCTCTTCTGCTTACTTCTCGTGTCATTCTTTAACTCAAGATGATGAGCATTGCTTAACTAACAATGAAAATTACAAAGAAATAATTAAAGCAATGGAAACACTTGAAAATAAAACACCGATAATTGAGGATACTGAAACGGTTGACATCTCAAAAGATCCAACCATTAAAAGACAAGTGAAAATCGGAATAACACTTAATAAAGAAGAAAGAACCGATTTTATTAATCTATTAAAAGAATTTATCGATGTATTCGCTTGGTCATATGAAGATATGCCAGGCATTAATAGAGAAATAGCTCAACACAAAATTCCACTAATTCCAGGAATGAAACTTGTAAAACAGAAGTTACGTCGAATGAATCCCGACGTGGCTCTTAAGATAAAAGAAGAAGTACAAAAACAAATAACAGCAGGTTTTATTAGGGTATCCAAATACCCGGAATGGGTTGCAAATGTAGTCCCAGTTTCGAAGAAGGATGGAAGGGTACGAATGTGTGTCGACTATCGAGATCTAAATAGGGCAAGTCCAAAAAAGGACTTCCCCTTACCACACATCGATATTTTAGTAGATAATGCAACAAATCATGCGCTTCTCTCATTTATGGATGGTTACCCAGGGTACAATCAGATCCTCATGGAAGAAGAAGACATGGAGAAGACAACTTTCATAACACCTTGGGGCGCTTACTGCTACATGGGTAATGTCGTTCGGGTTAAAAAATGCGGGTGCCACTTACCAACGAGCAGCGACTGCTTTACTCCATGATATGATGCACAAGGAAGTCGAATTCTATGTAGATGACATGATTGTGGAATCAAAGAATTGACCAGGGCATTTGGCAGCCGTACGAAAATTCTTTGAAAGATTAAGGAAATACAACATGAGGTTGAACCCATCCAAATATGCTTTGTTGTCACCTCAGAAAAACTCTTGGGATAAGTCATTAGCTCTAGAGGAATAGAGATAGACCCAACAAAGATTAAAGCAATCATGTCAATGCCACCGCCCAAAACCGAGAAGCAAATTCGGTGATTAATTGGTTGTTTGCAATATATAAGTAGGTTCATATCAAAGTTGACAACAATATGTTAACAAATATTAAAAAAACTCAAAATGAATGTACCGGTAATATGGGACATTGAGTGTCAAAAAGCCTTTGAGAATATCAAAGCCTATCTCGCTAACCCTCTTGTATTAGCACCAGCACTCCCAGGAATCCCTCTTAGGTTGTACTTAACAGTCACCAAGGAGACAATGGGGGCTATGCTCGCACAAGAATTAGAAGGAAAGAAAAATGTCATCTACTATCTAAGTAAGAAGATGCTCGAGTATGAAATACGCTATACACCACTTGAGATATTGTGCCTCGCATCGGTGTGGGCCACAACCAAGTTAAGACATTACATGCTCGTTCGTACAGTCTTTGCGGTATCTCGAATGGATCCACTCAAGTATCTTTTCGAGAAATCTACACTAAATGGGCGAATATCAAGATGGATAGTTAACCCAGCCCAATTCGATGTAAGGTTCATGCCTCAAAAGGCCATTAAGGGATCCGTGGTTTTCGATTTCTTAGTGGATTTTCCGATAGAAGATTCCACGCCCATACATGAGAATGATTTTCCATATAAAGACTTGATGGTCACAGAAGATGATACTTGGACTCTCTACTTTGACGGAGCCTCAAACCAAAAGGGATGTGGTGTAGGAGTGATATTGGTATCACCAAAAGAGTAACATGTTCCAATATCCATAAAGCTAGATTTCGGCGTTACCAATAACGCTGTAGAATATGAAGCATGCGTGGTAGGCCTTGAAACAGCATTGGCATTGGGAGTAAAGAAACTTCGAATTTTCAGGGATTCTTCATTGATCATCAATCAAATTTCCAAGAGATGGAAATTAAGGAGTGAAAGTTTGGGCCCTTACCAAACCTGCTTGGAAAATCTCACAAACCAATTGGAGAAGGTAGAATACATATATCTACCTAGAGAGGAAAATCAATTTGCTGATGCCTTGGCAGGACTAGCCTCGATGGTTAGGATTTCTACGGAAATTGAGCAAATGCCTTTAAAAATAGGGCACAAACCAGCTTACATCCAAGCAATAGAAGATGATGGGGTATCTGAAGAGGAAAAAGAAGACGAAGAAGAACCTTGGTATACAGACATCCTCAACTATGTCACAAAGGGAGAATATCCACCCCATGCTGACAAAAAAGGCAAAACGAGCCTTAAGACTTTTGGCTTCCCAATACGTGCTTATTAACGACGAGTTACACAAAAGGGTACCTAATGGACGAGCTCTTTTATGTGTAGGAAAAAAGGAAGCCCAAAGGGCTATGAGAATAGTGCACGAAGGGGTGTGTGGAACACACGTAAATGGCAAAATGCTACTCTAAAAGATAATGCGCGAAGGATATTATTTGACTACCATGAATAGGTAGTGTCATCAATATGTTAAAAGATGCCCTAAATGCCAAATATATGCCAACCTGCAACATGTTCCCCCATCTCTCTTCTACACCTACACATCACCATAGCCATACTCAACATGGGGAATAGACATCATCGGAAAAATTACTCCTCTAGGAACAGGAGGCCATGAATATATATTAGTAGTAATTTATTATTTCACTAAATGGGTTGAAGCAAAATCATATGCAAAACTCACTACAAAACATGTGTGACAAAGGAATAAACGCGTCCTTAAATGTATATCCCTAATCAAATACAATTTATACACCTAAACGAACCTAATACAAGTATAACGAAAGTATAGGGGTCGATCCACAGGGAGCAACTAAACAATGCAATCACCACTAGTCATTTAAGCTATCTCAGAAAGTCAAATGTAGTTATCTAAAGACAGTAAAATAGAAGCAAAAACGCTAAAATGGAAATTAAGCGAGCTAAGGCAATGAAATTAAGACACTAATGGAATCGGATTAGGTAATTTTGCACTGAAGCATGAATAGATATGAAATTGTTATTAAACACTAACTAAACATCACACATCAACGGTTTAAGACACAATCTAACATCCTATCGGAGTCAATTGCTTTCTTGATTCATCAACAACCTACACTATCGTCTTAGGTCGAGCAAATCAAGGTAATAATCTTGCAAAAACGTTCAATGGAAATTTCTAAGCCGAGCTATCGCTACAATCTAGGTCAATCCACCTAGTTATGACTAATGGTTGGCCACCCAAGAGAAACAACTAATATGATATGCAAAACAAAGACTTTAATCACAATCACAACAATTTAAATATCAAAGCATTCTTGAGGCTCAACTACACCATCACCAATTCCCCTAGTAAGGAAACTACTCACTAATCATGTTCAAAAAAACATCAATCATCAAATCAATAAGCATCAACATGATTAACAAGAAAAGAAGGAGAATCAAAATAAACAAACAAAATCAAATGCAAAGCTAAAGAGAAAGAGTAAGAATTTGCTCATTAATTGAAGTGGATGATCTACAAAGGTCAAACAAGTTCCTTCTTCAAAATCCAAGTTCATCAATGAAGAAATCTACACCTTCTCTCTCTACCAAATGATGACTAATAGTGCTTTCTCTCTCTAGATTAAGCTAAAATTAAGAAATTAGAACTAAGTTAATCTAATTACATCAAAACGTTCTAAAACGGGACTTATATAGTCCGTGTATAGCTGGCTGAAGTCGGGAAAAGGTTCGACCAAACATAGGGTAGGTTCAGTTGAACATCAGCGTAGGTTTGGTCGAACCGTGGGTAGGATCGGTCGAACCTCCCTGCTCCAGGTTTGGTCGAACTTCTGGTGTTCGACCGCTTCTGCAAAATGCTGAAATCTGAAAAGTTCTTGCTTTCAACGTTTGGTCGAACCTTATGCAAGTTCGGTCACACCCAAGGTTCGACCGAACCTTTCAGAGAGTTCGACCATACCTCCTCTAGAACTTGTTTTATTCAGCTCCAATTTGACTTAAGCCTTCTCCTCTTTGAAGTCCCCGATTCCTACAAAACACATGCATGAGAATCAAAGTAAACAGTAGGCAAAATCTAGGAAAAAGGAAGATAAAAGAGAAGGGAACTAAGTGTAAGGAAAATGATGCAAACAAGTCCCAAACGTAGGAAAATAGCCATTAAAATGAACCTTAATCGTGGCATAAATGCCACTCATTAACTCCCCCCACACTTGCCTCTTGCTTGTCCTCAAGCAAGGAAGCAAGGAAAATCAAAACAAAAAGACAAACACAACAAACATAACATGACATGGTTTAAGAAAACCATTCAAGCTCTTAGATAGAAAATGCTCCATTTGGGCTCAAACGAATATATATGCACCAAAGAATACTCACCTTTCTCAATTCAATAAGGGAAAACACGTTCCAAGATGCTCATGGTTGAAAAAGACAAACCTAAGCTAAGCATAGAGAACTAGTAATTTCACTCTCCGCCCTAGCCTATCCAAGATGGTGCACGTTCTCTCCACTAGCTTCAAGTCACCCCTTAGTTAGCTCCTCATGATTCCTCGAAGGAACCGGAAAAACAAGTATTTGTATAGAACCATAAGGTCATTCTGACATCTTGACTATGCATACTCTCTCCATAGGGTTGAAGTCCATATCCCTCCACTGGTCTTTGACCTTGCCACATAAAATTCCAAGGGTTTTTAGGGTTGTAATGTTACGGCTAAGGGTAAAGGTTGGGAATCAATTTGAAAATTTGGTAGCAATTCCTAAGTGAAGCAAAAGAGTGGCTGTCTCTCAAAAACAAACTAAGAATTGAACATAATCTCAAATTTACAACCTTTAATACAAACCTTACACAAACTACATCCGTGAAAGGGAGAAGAACATAAAAGCCCTTTTTTATTAACTTTTTTTTTGTTAATATTTATTCTACGCCCTTGCCTTTTTCTAAGGACGGCTTTTTCGTGAAAATCCACTTGGTTTTTTTTTTTTTCAAGCTCAACTTCTAAAACCTTACTTAGACTAATTCACATAGTTTTCTTGCTTATTATCAACACTTTCAAATCTCAAACCTCACAAGGCAATGCTTCACTAACAAAAGGGTTGGTAAAATATAGGCCGATAGGTTTGTAATGTGGTTAAGACAAGAAAGGGAAATAAGGCCCAAATTGGTTAGCAACTAGGTTGATGCAAAATCGAAAACCAAATTTGTAACGAAATAAAAAGAAAATAAATAAAAATGAAAGAGGGGTGTCCTTTTCCTCCTTTAAAGTTGCTTGGTCACGGTCTTGGGAACTAGAGAACAACACAAGGATTAAGCTATTCATGGTCAAGGATCCTAAATGCCGCTCAACAAGATTGATGAAGTCTTGAAGAATTTAAACCTCACATGGGATGGGAAGTAAGCAAATACCAACTAAAGGGCTTCATATCCACTATAGAGAGCAACACCATCTTACTACTTTCCCGTAAACTAAGGGTTCAAACGTCCTCAATAGATCTTAGCCTTACTAACTTAGCTTAAAATTTGTCTGTAACACCCCAATAATTCTCCCTTTTCCAAACCACTTACTTTAAATAAAAATAGAGGAGAACCATTGGCATGTTACCGCCACGTGTTAAAACGTTAAGGCTTTATCAAAGTATTGCAGCGGAAATCCAACTTAAATATTAAAATAATATAATTTAGAAAACCAATAAGTCAAAGCTTACAAATTGGAACCATAAAGGCCCTTATTAAAACCAAACCAATATTCCAAAATCCCAAAACATAATTAAAATAGTAAAACACAAATAAGTTCAACACAAAGAACGAATACTCTCAATCACACCAATCCCTTGACAATGCGTATGTCAAATCCCCGAACTTCACATCATCAAGCTAACCTGTGCAATACTGCTCCCTAATAATACAAGTGTAATAATTGGATCATCACAGGGTCATTGAAAGGCGAAGGCCATGACCAAAAGAAAACACACAAAAGCACGCAATCAGCAAAGCTGAGTACATACAAGCTACAACGTACCAAGCCTAGCATGCTCAACTAATTAAAGTAAATAAACATACAACATAAATTCATTAATCAAGACTCCACACTTAAACAATTCAATCGACTCAACATACTTGCTAATCAATTCCAAACACTTGACTCTTTATATTTAATTTAATTCATTTAGTTGGACTAAGCAATAGACGAGGTTGTCCAATCCACCAAATCATTTTGGTCCCAAATGACCATTTAAAATAAAAGTTTAGCGCGATGCAAGAATGGGCGCGACTCCATTCTCACAAAGTTAGTCTAGGATCCCATCTAACTTTCATTATAAAATAAAAATGTAAATACCAAAAGAAAAGAGGACATGTTGATCAAACAAGCCTCGAAAAGCCACGGGCTACCACCGTGTACCCCAACCCATAATTGTCAATACTCTAGAAGTGCACGCTTTCCAGAGTTTTATTGCTCATCCATGTTTCACTTTACGTGATTACAATTTTAATTAATAGCCAACTCATTCAAGAAGACCATACATAACAATCATACATCAATTCACTTTTAATCTTATTTAGGACAATGGTGATCACATCACAAGTTGACCTTTAATTCCTTTAAACTTCCAAATTATTCAAAATTGTTAAAACATAGTCAACCCACCTAGCCATTTCGGCTTAATCCACCTTTACGCAACATACTAACAAGTCATGCTCGAGTAATAAAATAAATAACAACCTTGTGGAATAATTAATAAATTCACTCCACTTAAACCATTCAATTTCAATCCTTTAATGATCCAAATGTGGTTAACAAACCGATCCAATAAAAATATGCCTATATCAACATTCCATAATCCAATATAATTCAACATGTTTGCATCCATAATTCCATACAAACATAATCAATTCACTAAAACTTGTCTCATAAAGATAAGCACATGAATTAATTAAATGTATAACCAAACAATTTTTATCCAAGTGTTCTCTAATCATGAAACTAAGTTCTTTTCTTTGGTACCTAAACATGATACTACTTACAACGAAGTAGACATGTACGTACCTCGTATAAACAATCCTTTGTGCCACTTTTAATCACTTACAAGTCTCCTAAGAAATAATCACTTCCTAGAAAACAAGCAACAATAATAAATTAATACTTAACAAAATTTCCAGCAATATAATTTAGATTAAAACTCCTTAAAAATTCATTAAAAACATGTTTTTATGGTTAATTATGCATTAGAAATACAATAGGAACAAAACCCCAATTTAATTAGTCATAAGAACCCTAAAATCCCAATTTAAATAAATTGAAACCCTAGGTTTTTAAACTTATAAAATCTGAAAATTATAACAACAATATAATCTGAAATTATTAGTTTAAAACATAAAAACATGATTTTGATACTAAAAATATAAACTTTATACTATAAAATCAAAACCCAAAACTAATCATAAACATTAAGCATAAAAAAAACTTCGTTAAAAATCAAAAACTGCCCGAAAATAATATTTAGAGGCTGAATTTGGCCACGAGAAGGTGGTACTCATTACCAAAGGTAGTGAGTCTTTCTTAAAACATTGTTTCCACAAGGAAAACACTACTTTTTTGTCAAAATCGGATGAGTTCAGAACCTGATCGGGATTAAAACGGGATTAATATTAACGAACCAAAATCTAAACATTAAAACACGAATTTACGTGTTCAAAATAATCTGGAATTAAGTTAAAGTAATTAGTAGTATAATCACCAAAATTTCAAAACATCAATACTATAAAAGCCCTAAATCGATTGTTCATAAAAACCCTAAAATCATGATTTTCAATGATTAAAAACCCTAGGTTATTAAATTTACAAAATCTGAAAATTATAACATTTATAAAATCTGAAATTATAAAGTTTAATCATCAAAATACAATTTGATACTAATTAAATTAATTTCAAATAATAAAATCAAAATCCATAATCAATAATTATAATTACACAAATTAATAAAACAAAGGAGAAAAAAAATAAGACTAACCTTTGTGTGGGGAAATTTTTGGGGATGTATGGGGTATTTATAGGAGAGAGGATAGTAGGGTAAGTAGGGATATTGGGCCTCATCAAATTAATGGGTCAATTAAGGAAGTAAACTGGGTTTGGTTTGTTTGTTGGACATAAATTATAGAAGGAAGGTTCATAAAAAGTTCTTTGTAATAAAATCGCTTATCAACCCCAAAAATAATTTGAAACTTTTGAAATTAAATTCCGGAAAAATACCAGTAAATATTATAATAATATATAATTTCATTTATAATATATTTTAAAATATGGGGGATTACATTGTTTATCTCAACCATAAGCACTCTCAAGCCGTGTAAGCCATCGTAAATTAGGAAGACAAGTACTCATTGGCACATCATAATACAACCAATTCCAAATGCATGAGAAAATTTCAAATTAAAATCATTTCATTCTGTCATGGTCATGTTTGTAACACAAAAAGGAAAATAAAACAAAAGAGAAGAGGAAGAAATCTAAAGGGTTCACAAATGAGGCATAAAATCCAAATAAATCCCAATCATCAAACAATTGATCGTTGATAACAACATCAACGATCCCAGGTTCCTTAGAACCAAATTCAAACAACCAATTTTTTGGGGGGATGTAAGGGAACCCTCATCTCGGGCTCCTATCTCCTTGCTCCCTAGCGGGGTTATCGAAATCAAACCCGGGAGTATCCATGAATGGGTGGAAAGGTTGGTTGAAATGCTCATAGGGCCACCCTTTGTCACCCCAACCACCATCAAAAGGGTTTTGGGTGGATGTAGATGTCGGGTCAAAGGCCGGATTACATCCACCCGGACAATATGGATCGTAAGGAGGGGTGGCAATACGTTGGGAAGGGTCAATGGGACCTACCCAATAGGGATAGACATTGGGGTTAGGGTTGTTGGGGTCATAGGGATCCCAATAAGGAACCGGACCTTCTTGAGGAGGGTGGTACGGATAGTTAACATAGGGCGCTTGAAGGCCCGCTTGCACAATATTGTCATAATTCATCCTT